CTGCCAGCCTCCCGCGGGCTTCCGCCAGGGAGTCGCCACCCAAGAGAGCGCCAGCACCCGACCCCGGCCCGAACGCTAAGGGCGCCTTGTTCGACTGCGGGGAGGAAGCGGCCCGGGTCATCCCTCGTGAGCTTACGGTCAAGAGTAGCTCTCTGCTGCCTGAGATCAAACCTGAGCACAAGAGGGGACCTGTCCTCAACCACTTCAACCACTTCGATGGCCGGGGGGAGGGAGGCCGAAGCAAAGAGCAAGGCAGGTCGGCTGGAGCTTCAGAGGCTGACGGCTTGAAGCCCAGGAGCCATTTCGGTGTGGGCAGGTCGACGGTGACCACAAAAGTGACCCTGTAAGTAGCTGTGGAATTGGTCCAGCCAGATTCGCGTGTCCACTGGCGTGTAGGGCCCTAGGGAAGGAGCGGGGTCTGCGCGGTTGTGGAATTGTCTGTGCCCTGAATTTTTCTGTATTGAACTAGAGAGTGAAGGATCAGATTACCCAGTTAAAGTTTAAGAAGATGACACTTCCGTCAGCCTCTTGGTTTCTCATTTTCACTTAAAATCTTAGGTAAATGAATGTAAAAGTAGGAAAACCCTTGAGGCTCAATGTTTACATAAATAACAGATAAGACTTAATGGTTTGACATTACCTAATTATAGAGTTTAGTCAAAGAAAAATGTTCACAGTTGTTCCAGGGTAAGACATTCTTAAAACACACAGGAGAAAACACTGTTTTATTAGGCATGACCAGGAGCTGTGAGGGGGGTGAGTTCAACGGAATTCATAGAACCTTTTACGGAATTTAGTGCGTGATTGTCCTAATGTTTTTTAAAGCCCCCAATACAAGTATTTCATTGCTTCCTTCCCTCTATAATGTTAGGGAACCAGTTGTTATTTTTGTTCCCGGGCTGAAAATTTGTTTTCAGTTATTGGAGAAAAGACACGTGTTCTTACTGGAAAATCACTGGCTACGTGAAAGTGCACAAAACAGACTGTATGTGTTGTTGATTTTACAAATAGTTATTCTCTGCATGGTACTGTTCTAGGTAGTATAGGGGAAGAGCCCTGCACATGCTGCCCTTGAAATGTTCACGGCCTTTGCTGGTTCTCAATGAGCAGACAAATCAGAAGCGCAGGGGAGGAAAAAATCATTGTTGGCTTTTGGAAGAGCTGGGCCTTTGGGCCTTGATAAAAAAATCTCTGTAGGAGGATAGGATAGGGCTATAAAACTGAGGACTTCCTTCTCTGCCTCTGCTCTCCCTGCCTCACCCCTCTCCACTTAGCACAGGTGAAAATGAGTATATGCTCAAGTTATTCCTGCGTTCACACATTTATAAAGAGCTGGTATTTGTGCAGCGTTGTCCTTCTTGAAATGAATGGGGTTCATTGTATTTTGTTTCTTTGAGAAGTGAGCTGTGGAGTAGGAAGTCTGGTAAACACTTGAGGAAAACGTGCTTAATGAATAATGTGAGCAGTCTCACCAGCTGCCAGCCTACAGCAGCTGGCTTGGATAGAGTCAGCTATTTATTCTGTAACCATAGCGTTGGAGAAGTGAGCTGAGTGAATGATGCCCATTATTTTTAGAAGACCACTGTGAGCGCTCACGGAAACCTACCCAGGTGTGAGCTGAGAGGTAGTTGCTATGTACCTGATTGAGGATGCTTCAGTTTGTCTTCCAATGGGAAGATAGCAGTGGAAAAACCAGAACTGTTACTGTTAAAAGAAAGGTAAACAAAGGACAGAAAAGCCAATCTTACAATGAAACCCTTCTTCATCGGCTGCTTCCTAAACTAAACCAAAAGTCTTTTTCTCAGAACTGATTATTTTTGAGCTAGAATTTTTCTTTACTATTCATTTTGTATAATTTTGCACAATGCCTTGCATGTGAATTGTCAAACAATTGAAATGAAAATTAAAAATTCTTTCTAGTCTTTTGACCTATTTCTGTTTGATGGGATTTTTTGCAGACCCTTTAATTCTTTTTTTTTTTTACTTTAATTCTTTCTATGATTGTATTGCAAATAAAAATGTTCACAGATTATTTTTTAAAACAATTTGAGACTGAAGAGTTAGAAAAATTGGTACAGTGGACACTCGAGTTACAACCGGCCTGACAACTTGGGCTAAGACCGGAATTTTAGTTTTATGACCAAAGTTTGAGTTACGACTGGAATGCTGGCCACTTGTGCTTCCAGCTGGTTTCAGATACAGATTTAACCCTTAAGGAGTTCTGGAAGGAACATTACAATATCCTTTCCTATGTGGGGTTAATTGAGAAATCCTGGTCCAGTGTCTCCCTAAGGACACTGAGACCTGCCTGGAAGAAAATGTGGCCTAAAATTATACAGGGAGAGAGACTTTGAAGGCACTTGACGAACCTGAGTTACAACCAGCCCTCAGGAATGAGGTGAGTTTGTAACTCACGGGTCTAATGGATTCTGTATTCGCTGAAAAATAATGGCTGTGAAGCTACATGTTTCTTTTGCTGTTAGAAAAAAATTTTTTTTTTTTAAGAATTTTTTTTTTTTTTGGTACTGGGCATTGAACTCGGGTCCTTGCGCTTGCAAGGCAGGCCACCGAACTGCTAAGCTAAACCCCCAGCCTTTATTTCTTCATGTTCTCTATTAAGTGCTGAATGCTGAAATTCTTAAAATGGTATATTTAAAATAGGGAGAATTTTCCTGTTACATACCTTCAGTTTTCTAGATTCCAGGTTCTTTTCCCTTTCTTGTATTATTATAAGGCAGTCATTGCAACAGTTATCATAGAAGCCTTCCTTTTTTTTGTTGTTAGGTTTTTTGTTTGGTCGGCTTTTTGTTTGCTTGTTTGTTTGTTTTGAGATAGGGTCTCACTATATACTTGAGACTGACCTGGAACTCACTATGTAGCCCAGGCTGGTCTTGAACTCACAGTAATCCTCCTGCCTCAGCCTCCCCAGTGCTGGGATTACAGGTGTGCACCACCACGCCTGGCTTTAGGAGCCTTCCTTTTAATCAGTCTCAACTAGGTTAATTGCAGTGACTCTTGGTAGGAACATTTAATAGCACAGAAAGTTTGATTGTAAAAGGTATTTTGATCTTGGTGCAGATCTTTAATCTGCAGATGTGTTCCTCTCTGCAAGGTAGCTGTAGCATTTTTGATTTGCATCGTAAGGGTTACTTTGATGTTTGATGAACAGACGTATGGCTTGAGCTGATTGGTGAGAACCTTTAAAGGTGTATTCCCTGGTATGTGACCATCTTTCAGTAACTGATGCAGCATTTGTAAGCTCTCCGTTTCTCATTATCTCACTGGTCTTAGAATTTAATCTTTATGGAAGGATTTAAAGTCAGTTTTGCTTTTAAATTTAAGGAATTTTGCTTTTACAATAAGAGAGACTAGCTATTTTAAGGATATAATGGGGACAACTGCTAGGAAAATTTATGAGCATATATTAAACTCAGTATTTAAATAAAAACTTAAAAGATGAAAATCTGAATTTTTATTTGTGGAGCACTTGATGCGATCTAGCCCAGGCTTCTCGTTTTACCCAGAGAGTTAATGGAAATAACCTGGAGTTATACCACTCGCTGCTTCCAGAGGCTCCAGGCCCAGCCTTCTTACAGGTGAAGTCCATATGGGAGACTTGAGAGTTTTATGCTTCTCCACCTTTGTGGCATCATTATCAAGTGGCTTTAAAGTCTGATTGTCTTATCTAATAGAACTTGTGATAACTCATTGACCTCTTAAATGATAAAGATGGAAAGAACCAGAGGACTCCAGTGAGGCAAGTC